CATGACCAAGTCCCGATTCCCATGCCTAAGCTCAAGCCCAAGCCCAAGCCCATCTCCAACTGGATCCCCATCAACATCCATACACAGTGGTACAGCATCCATCCAGCGGGCGAGCAACGTGCGTCCACTTAAGCCGCGGACAATCTTCATTATGGCCACTGCAGGGCACACACAGCTGCAGCAGCTCTCCCTCCGACCCCGAACCACCGACCCGACTCCGACGCGGACTGCAACTCCAACTCCAGCGCCGATTGGGGAGATATGTATGTATGGTCATACCTCTAGCTCTGATCCTGCCTGATGGCTCCCACATCCAGTCCCCGCTCTGTAGCGATCCGCTCCGGTGTGGTTCGCCAGCTGAGGTGTTTATTAAGGTGTAATGCAATTTTTCATATTTCATTTCTCTTTGTGCCATTCGTTTTCCTGGCATCTCCTTTTCCCCTGAGGATTTGGCGTGGGCGGAGCAACTGGAAAATTGCAATAATATTGCCCGTGTATCTTTCTTTCTTTGCTTCTTTTGGCCAAAACAGCAACAAATAAAAATGGATGCACAATGCAGGCCAGCAGCAGCAGCAGCAATGGTCGAGGGAGAGCAAAAAGTGTGGCAGCATGTTTGAGGTTTTCGCTTTTCCGACATAAATAATGGCCATAAATTGAGCATGGCCGGAGCTAAAAATTCAGTATTTATAGCCAAATGATAAAAATAAGATTTATTAACATTCTGCAGCCCCCTCAGCACACACACACACACACACACACACACCCTCTGCAACCCCACAAAAAAAGCTTGGCAGGGAGACCTGGACCTGGACCGGGACCGGAGCCAACGTGGCGCGAGAACATCCGTTTCGTTTCGCCGTGTGGATGATCCTGCATTCTGTGTGTGTCTGTATGTGTGTGGGTGTGTGGGTGTGTGTGTGTGGGGGCGACTCCTCCATACCCTCGTTCCACCTAAGGAGCCTCCTGTGTGCAATTCAGAGGAAAAATTAACGCTTGGTTGGAGCATGAGGAAGGAAGTCACAAACAGAGAGAGGGGGAGAGAGAGAGAGAAGGAAAATGGAAGCTGGGAAATCCAGGCAACTAATTAGCTTTTAGCCTCATTGCAAATTCACAAGAAGCCAGCTGAGAAAGAGAAAGAAGAGCTCGAGGTGGTGGCGGAGACGAATGAGAAGTGCCATACATATTTACTATAAGTGTCGCCCTGGCAGCTGGAGCTCATTAGCAGCCACTGCAACGCAGAGGAGAAATGCATTTTCCTCTTTTCTCACTGTAAGCCAGCCAAGGGAAGATATTAGTGGCATTCCAGCAAGTGTTTTTGTGGATCGTCACAACTGCTCCACAAAAAAAACATGCAGTAGGTAATTACGAGTACATTGTTGCTCATCACCTCATCACAAATACCACTATTAAATATGAGCAAACGAAAGGGAACTTTCAATATGTCCAACGATTTCCCAGGCCAAATTTTGGCGTTTGGCAATTAGTGGAACGCACCGCCTGCAGCGGACTGCGGCTACAAACGAGGCGGCTATAAGCCAGGCTCAGCTTGCCCCAGATGTGAGTGGTGTGTGTGTGTGCTCCAATAACGACAAAACTCAAGCAGAGGGAACCACAAGAGCAGCCTGAGCTGAAGACGCACACGCAGGCTGATTTTAATCAAATTCACAGCATTGTTTGCCTGTCAAGCAGCCAGCGGGGCGATTATCACAGGCGCAGGACGAGGACGAGGACGACGACCAGGCCAAGTAGGAGGAGTGGACGACAAGGCAAAGGTCTGTCTGGTAAATTCCAAGCGCATTTCATACGACACCACAGGCAATACTTGCCACAACAACAGCCATAAAGCTACGCTGCGCTGCTCTGCTCCACATTCTGGGGCCGAGCCATGGACGCGCGTGACCACAACTCAGCCGGCAACGCACACACAAAACACCCCAGCACCAGCACCATCTACATCCCCACCCACTCAGCTCGGACAAGACTGGCCCCAAAAAAGCACTGCGCGCCTTTATCATGTACAAGAATATACCAATATAAAACTCATGAATATCATTAAAAAGCGCGGCAGCTCACTCTTAAAATTATTTTAATAACAATAAATGCGATGGCATGCAATGTTGATGGGGAAAATATTCCCCAATGCTTGTTGAACAGCAGAATTTAAATATCCAACGGCTACACATTTTCGGGTCAACACTGACGTCACGGAAGCCCAAAATCGAGCAATTTACGGTATTTTGTTAATAGCACCGTATTTTTCGGTATATTATTCTGCTATCGAGGAACTGGCACCACCAGCGATAAGCTGTCCCGACTTATCGAAGCACTGCCACCTCAATTGGATTTGGGGCAGATTTTCAAACATAGTGTAAAGGGCCTAGAAATAAAAACATCGATGATTCGCATTCAAACAATTTATATTTGGCGCTCAAGTTTGGTGGGATTTTTTAGGGATTTTCTCTGGGATTTTTCCTCGCCACAATGTCCTTTTCCCCCTCAACAATGTCCCTTACATTCCATACTCACTTACGTTTTCTTACGTGTTATGCTGCTGGCAACATTCAATTTGTATTGGCCAGACTCATGTGCCGTGAAATCGAGCAGCACTTTGCATACCCTGGGGAAATGGATGTTATAGAATTGAGAGAATGTTTGTCATCTAATGCACCAATAAAGGCCAAAACTAGTCAGTTTGTGTTTTAAAGGTATATCAACGATATTTTTAAGGTGTTGGTCTTCTTACAGAATCCAAGAATGGGAATCGAGATCGAGGTATATTTACAATAATATGCATTAATATGTCCAAAACACAACAATCTGAGATCATTTCTATATTAATTGCGTTTTTAAACAGCTTGGAAAAACAGTTTCTTCATATATATTGACGAAATAGGGTATAGCTGGGCCCAAGCTCCGGTTGGCGTGACATTTCATACTCCCTTACGTTACATTCCATATTCACTTACGCTGCCACTGGTTTTTGTTGATCTTTTTTGCTTAAACCTTGTTATCTACACTATACAATAAAAGAGAGTACTTAAAACTAGTCAATCAGGTAGAAAATTGATTCATTAATCGGATAAAATTATGTGGGCAAACCTAAAGGTTTTAGTTAGGCAGCATTATTCAACGGAATAAAGAAATTGAGCAATTGGAACGATTTTTCTCTTACGTTTTATTACGTTTCAATTGTTTAACCATTTTCGCTAAAACCTTTTTTTTACGCAAAATCCAATAAAAGCAAGTACTTAAAATAAGCCAGTTAATTAGAAAAATGATTCATCAATCGTATAAAACTATGTGGGCATGCCTAAATGTTCAATATAGCTAGTAATATTTGACGGAATAAAGAATTGAGCAATTGGAACGGTACTCGTTTGTTTACGCTACTGTTGTATGAGCAAAAGTGCCTTGTGCGTCTGCCTACAGTGGCTTCAAATGACAGTAAGTCCTGATGTCACAGGGCACTCCCCGAAAACAACCGCTGTTCCATGGCTATTCCGTGCTTTCCACATTCTTCGCATTTACATTTAAAGTCGAGCCACAAAGTCTGCAGTTGCGAAGCCAAAAAGACCGGCAGCGCCCTTTACCGCAGCTGTGGCCCACTACTCCGCCCTATATCAGCCGCCAGACCACCCCGGAGGTGCTCCACACGGACTGTTCATCAACAAGTAAGTGGCACAAGAGCAAATCGGACAAAACATTCTAAACCATCCGACCACAAAGCTGAAACTGGCCTGGAAACTGGGACCCACACTGGCTACCGGCAACATCATCGTTTAAAAGCCAGCCTAAATCAGTCAATGTTTTGCCAAGTTTCGGTGGAGCCGACGCTGCCCTGGCCAATCACGCAGATGTCGCCAAGGACGTGCCCTGCATCCCCCCAGCTACGACAGACTGCCCGAATGTGCCGCTGCCGGTGTCCGGCAAGAATATCCGTGCACAGCTCTCTCTCCTATTCAACTGCCTCTATTAGCTTCCCAGCCCGTGCATTCCATGAAGGCGAGGCGTGTGGAGCTGAAAGAAGTTACGGCGCTGGCCCTGGACCAACAGTCCGAAGAAGTTATAAACATCAATTGAAAGAACACGTAAGTCACCATATTGGATACCTCTGGACACGTGTAATCTCCTGTTCCCTCTCTACAGAAAAACCCTTGCTTCCATGCATATCTTGCAGGTGATACACATTGCCGCCTAGGGGGATTTGTGTACTGGCTGGACGACAAGACCGGACTGGAGCGAGAGCGTCGTTCCGTGGAGCTGCAGCGTCTGTCGCAGTTCACCGACCGTTTCCACATCTGCATAGCCAGCGGGGTGTGACACGCTGGAATCACTGGAATATTCTTTCGACCTGACCATCGACAACAATCAGGCGAACCGTTCTGGTTTTGAACCCTTAAAAGTATACAACCATTTTCGTTTGCATTCGCTAAAGTTGCTTGCTGATGATTTTTTATAGTCTGGTATTCCAGATCTGAAATGCCTCGGTTCTTATCATTTTGAGCGGTCGAAAGTTGAGAGTTTTTGCTGGAAGCACCTTAGATCTTACGCGTAAGAAAGCTGTGGGCTTGTAGGGCGGCTCCGCGCCGGGCACCACAGGGAGATGGGAAACCCTCCGCACGCCCAGACGATTCACCAGAGTCACCGATATGTTTGAGAGGAAACCGGCTTTCTGCTGTTGCTCCTTCAGGGCGCTGGCTAACATAGATTTGTTTTCTACCGGCTGTGTGCAGCAGCTCCCCATTCGACGAGGATACTACTAAATACTAATACCTCTTCTCTAAAACTTAAAGAGCGCCATTCCTAAGGCGACACCTCGTACTTCCATTGATTGGTAATAGACTAGCTGCTGGAGTGCAGCGAAATGCGGTCCTGCTAGAGGCCGATGCTTCTCTATAGTAAAGCTACCAATTATTTTGGTCAAGAAATAACCAAATTAATAACCTTTATATAATCATTAGTGGCTACCGGCGGAGCACACGGAGCACAAAAAATCATTTCAATATAAATATTAGTTTACTAACAAAATTTTTAAAATTGTTGTGGCATTGAGGAAGCCTTTAGAAGGCCCTTCAATGTAATATGACGAGTATTCTACTCATCAGAGGAGGAGAATTCGTCATCCTCGGCGGAGGACAGGAGGCCCTCCCATGCAGATGTGCCCTTGGAACGTAGTGATGTGGCAGCGAAAGAGTCTTTGATGCTGCTTGCCAAATTAGTGGTTGATGTGTTCTTCGACAATAGCGAAATCTGAGAAAATTTGGTGCTATGGAGATCTAGTTCTGCGAGCGACAGAGCTCCGACGCCATGCTCCGGTTCATCTACACAGCGAATGCAGTCGTCGATATTGGTTTTCTCATTTTGCAGCAAAAACATGTAGTTTATAAACTCATCCCACGACACAAAGAACATATTCGGTATGGTCGCGCATACAGGGCGATGGTATTCGCAGCGCGTATCGATCATCCAACGGCGAGGGCGAAGAAGCTGCATTCGGGTCATTGCAAGCCTGTCGCTCAAACAGTCCGGTTCCATTAAAGTTTTTGTCAAAACGCTGCTGTAGAACATGGCATCCGCTAGGATCTTCTTGAAGTCGGGTAGCTTTATGAACAGATCCAGTATATCTCCGAACGGACCGATCAGCGTGCGATCTGTCAACATGAACTTCTTTAGCATGAGTATGGGCATGAACCCATAGCGGACGCTCTTCAGGACTTTGCCAACGCTGCCACGACGCTTGGGCCACTTGTATTTCAGCCAGCACAAACCAGCATAAAAGACCTAATTGGATATACACATCAGAATAGATTCAGATTCTGAGCTGAGGGAGGGACTCACTTCCATTTCGGAGTTGACTGCCAAGCGATCCGACTTCAGGAAAAGCGTCACTTGAATCTCACTGAGCCGCAGGAACTGAGGAGAGGAAAATATGACCACCGTCGACTTGGTAATGCGATTGACCAACAATCCATGCAGCTCCTCGATCTCATGCACCTTGCGCGACTTGCAGAGCATCTCGAATGCATCGTATTCAATCAGATTCTTTTTCTCCAGTAGCTTCCACATCTGCTCGAGCAATTCGGGAATGGCCAGGAATCGAGCAGCTCTAAAAACTGACAGGTCAAAGCTTTGCAAGACCCTGGACTCCCCATGCATCCAGCGGTATATTTTATCGAAGGCACGAGATGCCAGCTCTGGGGTCTCGAAGTACAGGCATCCCTTTTGCATTTTCTCTATCAAACGTTTCGAAAAAAGCGAAAGAACCACATCGTGGCACAGGAAGCGCACCCCGTCCACGTTCACAATGGTAGAACGACTGCTTTCTATGTGATTCATAGCCACCTCCATCAAGCGATCTTTGTTCTTTAGTCGAATAAATTTTTTACAAATTTCATTCGACTTTTCTACCTCGGCGGTGTGTTTTTTGAAAGCTTCTAACTGCTCTGTGATTCTGGTATTGCCAGGGTCAAGGCTGCGAGGAAAAAGCACGATTAACAACGAGTACTGGTCAAAAGTTTGCACTTACGCGGTAACTCTGCGTGGTTTAACTTCCCAGTCCTTTACATGCTTTTTCTGTGACATGTTTTCTTTGTATTCTTTAAAAATGATCCCGGCTTTTGAGAATAGATTAGCAAGACGTGAGCTATATATTTAATTTGAAATTTTAATTTTATTGAAAAAAATTTCATGGGTAAAACGTCATAGAGATGGGAGATCAGCGACTACAAAACATCGATATGTCCCACCGCAACGATATCGATGTATCGATATACAATCTTATACGGTCACACTGGTTGCTTAATCAGTGTGACCGTTTCCTGTACTCGTTTTGTTGTTTGATGGCTGCAGTTTTTAGATTTAATGGTAAATTTATAATAGTTTAACTTGATAAATGCGTGCTACTTAGGTGTGTAGACGACTACACAGTCGGCCGATAATAAAATGTCAATTAAGTGTAGCATTAGTGCTGTTTCCCAGCGAGACACATCCCGTCCGCGTCCGGAGAAATTCTGGTGTTTTCTCGACTATTAACTAATGCGTCATCGTAGCAACAACAGAAAAATGTGCAATATTGTTGTTAAATTAAGTGTTTAACCGGCAGACGCTCACGAGATGTGTCTACGTCAGAAGTTTTTCGTGTTTCGGGTTGCTTGTTTGATTAGAAAGTCGGCTTTGCCTCTGCCGATGAAAGAGCGCGGGGGGCGAGGGGCGCACGCAACAGTGGAAGATTTCACGTCAAGGCGAACAGCACCGCCCCGCACCACACCCCTGGTCCCAGTCCATGGCAAGCAGCAGCTGTTGTACGAGAGACCGACTGCTGCTCTCTCTTGTGGCTTGCTTTGTTTTGATGCCAAGCATTTTCAATGAAAAATCCTCGACTTGCATCATTCACTATTTCACCATACACATATTTTTCCCTCCTTCCATTGCAGCCGCTTTGAATCATGGATTTCACCAGCGTGCTGGCCAAGAGCGAGGCGCATCAGCGCACCATTGTGCATCTCGACATGGACTATTTCTACGCCCAGGTGGAGGAGATACGGGACCCCACGTTGCGCACGAAAGCCTTGGGCATCCAGCAGAAAAATATATTGGTTACCTGCAATTATGTGGCGCGGGCTCGAGGGGTGAACAAGCTCATGCTCATCACAGAGGCTCAGCGCCTGTGCCCGGATCTGGTCTTGGTCAATGGCGAGGACCTGGCGCCATACCGTCTCATGTCGCAGAAGATCTTCGATTTGCTTCTGAACTACACACCCATGGTGGAAAAGCTCGGATTCGATGAGAACTTCATGGATGTGTCGGCCCTGGTGGACCTTCGGCAAGCACATGCAGCCGATGCGCAACAAAGGCCGCCAGTTGGACACACTTATCCGGACGATGGCACCCCGTTGACCACCTGCTCCTGTGGCTGTGCCCAGCGCCTGGCGATTGGCACCCGCATTGCTCAGGAAATACGCGAGGAGCTGAAGCTGCGGCTGGGAATAACCTGTTGCGCCGGAATCGCCTACAACAAGCTATTGGCCAAACTGGTGGGAAGCAGCCACAAGCCCAACCAGCAGACTGTCCTGGTCTCAACATATGCGGAGCAGTTCATGCGGGAGCTGCACGATATAAAGCGCGTGACGGGTATCGGCCAGAAAACGCAATGCCTCCTCTTGGAGGCCGGTATGTCTACGGTGGAGCAGCTGCAACAATGTGACATGGTCGTTATGCGAAAGAAGTTCGGCTTCGAGACAGCCACCAAGCTGAGGGATTTGGCATTTGGTCGCGACTCGAGCACGGTCCGGCCCACCGGCAAGCCGAAGACCATTGGCATGGAGGACGCCTGCAAGCCCATATCAGTGTGCACAGATGTGGAGGAGCGGTTTCGCATGCTGCTCATCAGGCTCATCGAGCAGGTACGTTGACAAAATATACATTTAAGAGAAACATGTACTGATTGTTTCTATTGCCATTTGCAAAGGTTGCCGAAGATGGACGTATCCCCGTTGCCATCAAAGTTGTGCTGAGGAAATTTGACTCGCAGAAGAAAAGCAGTCACCGCGAGACCAAGCAGGCAAGCATCTTGCCCTCCCTATTTAAGACCTCTATGTGTGCGGGCGAGATGGGTGTCAGTAAAGTGCAGTTGGCGGATGGGGCCCAGGATAAGCTCCTCAAGATCGTAATGCGGCTGTTCGAACGCATCGTGGACCTAAGCAAGCCGTTCAATATCACCTTAATTGGATTGGCATTCTCCAAGTTCCAAGAGCGCAAGGTTGGCTCCTCATCCATAGCCAATTTTCTCATCAAGAAGGCAGATCTGGAGGTTCAGTCAATAACTTCATTGACCAACACGAGTCTCACAAGTCCAACGGCAGAGAGTCCGACCTCCGATGAGTCGGCATTCCGCTCCTCGCCGACCACCTTCAAGCCGAGTGATCAATTCTATAGGCGACGTGCCACCACAGCCTCGCCAATCCCCATGCTGCTGGACAACGGCTCCGAGTCGGCGGCCACCAATTCGGACGTTAGTGATTTCTCCGAAACCGAAATAGAGCCATCGCCAAAGAAGAGCCGCATCGGTCGCATGCTGGTCTCGAAGCGCAGTCGTTTGGCGGTGGATGTGATGGACACCGCTGCCGATGTGGCGTCGCCCAGCAAACTCCGTGTCTGTGATCTACGTCTCAACTCTCGCGACAGCGAAAAGGATTATCCTATGAGTCCCATTGCCAGCGCCACCACCCCATCCACGTCGGCAGACGGGTGTTCTGTAGGTGCTCCGCGATTCCGGACAATCCAGCCGCCCAACACGCTACTAAATCGGATCGATGGCAGTCTTCGCTTCATGCCTACGCGCACTGCCCGTCGGATTAGCTCGAACGCTAGCTCGACAGCCTCGTCTCCACTGCCCTCGCCCATGGATGATTCCATGAGCGCTCCCTGCACGCCGACCACAGCACCCGATGCGTTTCCAGCGCCCAACAATAATAGCTGCACAGCAAGCGAGACCAGCTCCACAGCCAGCGTCCACGCCAATGATGTTCTAACGGAGATCGCCTGCCCAGCTGGAGTCGATGCTGAAGTTTTCAAGGAACTTCCAGTGGAACTGCAAAACGAGCTGATTGCGTCCTGGCGCAGTTCTCTGGTGGCAGCGGTGGAGCACACAGCGGCGGCTAGCACAACAGCGAATAGTGCGGCCACAGCCAGAGCGGGTGGAGGTGGCGGCGCACCTGCTACGGCCAGCGCTGGTGCCGGGAGTCGACCCGAGAAGAACACGCTGTATCGCTATTTTTTGAGGAATAAGTAATGCAGTGCATCGGCATCACATCGTTTCTAGTTTAAGAAAACCGTTCTAAATATCAGTTTAAATATATTTTATTTTTGTAGGTATACGGTTACATATTGTTATTTGATGGGGTGCTAAATTGGACGAGCTTATGCTAGGATATATCATCATCCTCATTCAGTAAGATACAAATATGAATACTCAGCGTAACAAACATGTTGCTCGAGACTTACACTAACGATTTGGCGGACTCTAAATTAAAAAAAACATAAGCACGGACAGAACATCCGTAAAAAAACATGTATCCTAGTATGGGCAGTCCGTTGGCAGCTGAGAGCTTTGCGATTATACATAGAAATTCATTGTTGCACATTTGCAATACATTTATTTCATCATTTTCAATTTCATTATCTTTATACAATGTTTAATTGGTTGGGGGTGTGGCCTACTTACGCATAGATAATACAAAAGATCTGAACCTTGATCGGGCGCTTACACTAGAGACGACACCATCTCTCACACGAAGTAACAAACTTTTAGCTAATTGAATGGGGGGTGGGGCGGGGGACACAAAAGTGTCCTGAAGTGTCTGAGCCTGACTTGATACAAGTGAGATATATTTTGTTGTTTTTTTTTTATGATGGCAACACAAGTTGGAACAGTCGAAAATTGTTGTCTTTTTTATTATTACTAAACGTCGCTTTCAAAATAAAAGTGAAGTCCCTAAGTCAGCAAATGTGTGAAGCGTTTTACTTACCATTCGATTCTAGGGCGGGGGCGGTGGTGGTGGCGGTTCAAAAGGGGCATTCAATGGCTCAGCCAGCCGCATTTGATAAAGAACTTGCGCAGCGAAATTTCCATGGGGCTGCCCAACGATGGCGCTCCACTCAGACAGACGGTTTTCAGGGAGAGGTAGGTGGTAGGTGTTATATTCAGTTTCTTGCACAAATCCTTCTCGTTGTGGGTCAGCAGATTGCTGCCCAGCGGCTGGGGCAGGTGTTTAAGCTCTTCCAGTTGTGAACGTAACTTAAAGCTCATGCTGGGCACCGCCTGCTCCTCGGAAGTGTTATGGCTTCCGCTGCTGCCGACGACCTCGTTTGGATGCAGTAGCTGGTTGTTTTTGGACAGTGGTGGATGCTGCTGCTGCTGCTGAAGTTGTGGGCTTCCCTTCGCTGATGTCGTTGGCAGATTCGCCTGCGCTGCCATCGTCGTAGCCGTGGAAATCGCTCCCGTCGTCGCTGTTATGCCCGATTCCAATGATGTCCCCGTCACCGTCCCCATCCCCATCCCCGCCCCTGTTGTTGTTGTCGGCAGCGTCGTAGCTGCCGACGATACCCGACAGTTATCCAAGTAGTTTCTGCTGTGCGATAATCCGTCGGAGCAGGTCGGGTCGACGGTGTGGTGCGTGTTTCTTGGTGCGATTGAACTTGAGCTTGCCTCGGCGCCGCTTGACATTTCGCTAATAAGGAGGGGAGGAGCATGCACATCGTTATAGAAATTGAAACTCCAATTTTCAATCTTAGCCAAATACTTACGCCTTTCTGAGATTCGGTTGTGGGGAGAGCAAGGAAGAGCTTGGCGGCCGAAGATTTCCATTGGAGGGCTGCGTGAGGTCCTGTGGTTAAACATTGTCTTATACAACCATTCAAACGCTCGCTGTTTGGTGCGTTGATAATACAGAGGAGCTGAATATCGTGAGAACAAGACGGGAAAGCGATTGTAAGTTTGGTACAAGAATGAACAAAGCAGCACACACGATATTCAACTCGTCATGCATTTTCATTGGACGAGCGCACACAACCAGGGAATTAAATTGTAACAATAGCAGCCTGCATTCAATATCTACTAAGACTATATACATAAATGTGGCTGCAACTGATTGCAATTGCATTCCCTGCCGAGTTGTATGCCCGTTTAGCGGGCTCGCACTTACAGTCTTGCCATGACCATAGGGTCCTGTGGATCGGTGCGATGCCATTGCCGCGTGCTGCTCGAAGTGCACACATTCTTCGATTTTTGTGAGACCGTTGTAGCGATAGCGATACAGCTCCGACTGCCGGATCCGCAGCTCCTTCTCGCGCTCCAGGGAGGCCAGCAGGCGCTCGTACTCGTTGCAAGTGTAGAACTGGGCGTAGACGCGAAACCGATCCCGAAACTCCTTCTGCTCCTTGGTGAGGCCTTGGTGCAAGGCATAGTTGCGGTTGCGGAAGAAATTTGAGACCAGCTGGTAGTCGCGCACCATTCGCTTGCGGCGGGCCCGTTCGCGGAGGCGTCGCGTGTAAATGTCTACGTGAGCCAGCTTCAGCATAACGTCCACCTCCGTGTCCTCTGAACTGAGCGTAATGTTCGAGATCAGCTGCTCGGCGGTGGGATCGTACTCGCGCTCAAAGCTGTCCCTGTTGGGCATGTAGCCCAGCTGCGCCGCCTCGTCGGCGTTGATCTCCAGAGGTGGCAGATTGGCCATGGCACTGGCACCCAGCGAACCACCATCATCATCACCTGTGTGGTCGATGAGACGCGGTCGTTGCGACTGGGCCGGCGTCCAGGTAGCACGGCCAATTGTGCCATTGACGAATTTATTTACATACTCCTCTTTGGCGTCTTCCGCCGACTTGGTCTCAATGTGTTTGCTGATGTCCTCCCAGTTGCCGAAGCCGTACTGCTCGATGGCGTCCAGCAGACGAATCTCCTCGCGGGCTGTCCATGCTCCCTTGCCACGGAACACACTCAGTATGGAGGTGCCCGTGTCCATGAACTGGTAGGCATGATTGTTCTGATGGGCTCCGATCTCTGCCCCGGACGCGAAGCACTACAACAAAATTTAAACGTAAATACCTGCTGCGCACTCAGTAAACAGCTGTTCCCAAACAACATTGTGAAATCGCCGGCTATATACATATAAACATATATATTATATGCATATGTATGAATGAATGTACAGTGAACTTTAGCATGAGTCAGTGCTAACAGTTCCAGAGCGTTGCTAACAGGGGCATCTCTATAGTACGTGTGCTGAACTGTACACTGTATGCATGCATGTATGTACATATGTGTGCTATGTTACTTACTTGCAGGCATAAATCGAAGTTTTCACACTCTGCACAATGCACACGAATGCCCTGGATGTCGTCCTGGCAGTTGGTGCAGTTATATTTAGTAAACAGGTCCGCAATCGTGGTCATTATGGCCTTAAAGTGGACTTTTCCACATAAATTTTTGTGCGAAAAAACTAGACAGCCGCCATCTTGACAGTGTTAAATTTGATTTACATGGCAGCTACACGTACACGGTAACTACACGCTTACTACATGATGGGATGAAAAAGAGGGTATGGACAACAGGTTAAACGGCCAAGAAAACGCATCGGGTGCAAGGCAAAAGGCACCAAAAAGTGCGAGGTGAGGCTCGTATGGCTGTTGTCCATACCCATTTATATTTGCCATTCAAAATTGCGACTCATTTGTTCGTTGCGGAATAGAGCAGCAGTGTGACCGTCTGACACTCAGAAATATACCGACTCATATTCAAAATACACCAAATTAAAACGGTTTCATCCTATCTATGAGATAAAGATCATGTTCATGGCACATTTTTTGATTCTTGTGTCCCGCTTTCTTCTCCGATTAGATCTAGAAACCCCCCTTGTGCAATTGTCGAGCTCTTTGCCAAATCTTCGACTAGTTACGCCAGTGTTTTCACCGGGTCCGGACGGGTTCCAGGCAGTGTACTGGTACTGCTCCGTGTTAAGCCCGGCTTAAACTATTCACCTATCCATTGATTCTTCATGCTTCCCCCCGTTATGGAAGAAACCCTTTAGAATTCCTCTTCATAAGAAAGGTAATAAGTCTGATGCAAAGAACTATGGAGGTATACATATATATATATCTAAGCTATTCGCTATTCCTAAAATGTTTAGGAAGACTTTAACTCCGCACCTGCATCTCCCCAAATCACTTATATCTCCAACTCAGCTTGGATTTATAAGGCGGAGATTAACAAACACCAATTTATTGGAGTTAACCTCCTTCATTATCAAGGGCTTTTAAGGTAATCTATAGACGGATGTTATTTGAGTAAAGCATTCGACTCCCTGCTGAGATGGTGATAGATGCAGTCATTACCAATCAACGTCCAGAAAATTAATAACTTGAGTTCAACCACGGAAAATAGTACTAATAATAATAATAATAATTACTCTTGTAAATCTATCCTAAACCTAAACATATCCTTTATCTTTGCATAAAAAAACGACCACGATATCTTTTTCCTAAACTGCGCTAAAATTCTTCATAATTCATAATTTTTTGTTGAGAGTATTTTTGGCCGACAATGGTCTTATCGTTCTCTGTCCATTATCACCCTCGGTTTTGATTCGGTTTAATATTACTAGGTAGGTAGGGCCGTCAGCTCTGAAGACATATATTTATCCCACTGATGATTCAATTTCCTACAAGATTGGCTAATTTTAATCTCCTTCCTTCCTTTAATTTGATTGTTTCCAAAATAAGGATTGAACATAAATAGTACAAACATAAAACGTAAGTGAGTATGGAATGTAACGTTATTTCTTACATGTTCCTGGTATTTGAAGACTTGTTTCTTGTCAACTGGTTTATGGACATTCGTTAATTTAATAGTAAAATACTGTTTTCCAATAAACCATTTTCTGCATTCATTGTAGCCTGGGAGGACAAACACTTCAATTCTATAATACCCATAGTTGCAAGATTTGTGGACAACATTTTGGAACTCTCTAGATGCTTCGAAAGGGGAACTTTTATTTGAATTAAAAAACGTTTCGTTTACAGCATCGAGTATGTATGCTTTAAATATTGATAGTTGTTTATTTATTAATTTCAAAAGTTTAATTCGAGTGTTTTGCATTTTCTTTAAGTTGATTTTTTACGCTAATATCACAAAAATAATATATAAAACTAAAAATATATATGAGAAATCGTTAATATCATATTAAACCGAAACCAGTGATATAATAAATACATTTGCGATGTATGTATATAAATATAGATATAAATATTTAAAAAACCGATGGTGTAGGACTTATAGATCAAATAAGGTTCAAAACGCGAAAGGTGCTGAAAATGCAAATTGTTGTATAAACATAAAACGGTGGTCAAGGATCATAGAACTTAGACTAAAATTAAGAACATAATTAATCCTTTTGTGTCAAACAAAACATTGAAAACTGACAAAATCTTTTGAACAATATCTTGATGCTTACATCTAACATGAAATGAATTTGGCGTGGGATTAGTACAAGCCTGGACACGATTACCGAGATATTGTACTGAGGGTTACAATGTTCGGGGAAAGGGTTTGGGAGAGGCTAAAGGCTACGCTATATAAATAGTTGATTAATCGATTATTTTATAATTATGTATTGTATGCTTGAATATGCTTCGGTTATGGTTAAATATTGCTGTCTTGTTCCGAGCAGTAGCCGATTTCTTATATGGGAGGAGAGAGGACTGGACTAGTTTGCGGCTTTGGTGGCTTTGGTATGTTGCTAATGTTGCTAGTTTGCTTAGACCAAGGGAAAAACAAAACAAGTTACACAATAAAAAACAATAAACAAATCTTAAAAAGATATGGCAAGGTTTTTGTGCAGCTGCGTTTTTGAAACACGCACACGGCCAACAAAACTCAATTCTTCAAGTTGAGTACCTAAAAATCTCTAAATAAGTCTATTTGAGCTCCAAATTCGGGTTGGGTGTCGCACCTGCTACATAGTGTGTGTGTGTGTGTGTGTGTGTGTTGGGTAGGACAATACTGTTTAAGAACATTCAGGGTTCGAGATTCGCTAACGGGCGGTAGACTGCACCTCACAATTTTCACAGATAAGTTTTCAATTCGAATTTGCTTGCATAAGGAACTAAGGAGCACAACCCTTCACATCGCAGGCGCGACACTAGTCGTCATAAGCGATCGCGTACGCGATCACAGCAACCGGCAACTGGCCTTCTTTCTGGGCCGCCTGCTCGTCAGCTCTCGCTGGCCAGTAATGAAACTCATAAGCAAGCGACCACGGCCGGGCTCTGAAAATATACATAGGGGTGTCCTAAAGCATAACTATTAACTAATTTGGTATGTAAAGTCTTTCTGTCTTTGTCTACAACTTGATGAAGAGGATAGATGTTATTCTGTGGCGGCCACTGGCCAAAGCCAACTAGCAACAATAACATTAAAATACCAGCCGATAACTCAAACTCAGTGCTCACGTACTCACATGGATGTGGGAACCGGGACAGGGACCGGGACTCGGTGGCTTTACGTTTGCTCGGTTGTTCGTCTTTATCATATTCTCGATCCTTCTCGTGTTGCGCTGCTAGGGGTAAGGAAGCGTCTAAACGTTGGCTAAGTTGGGCAAGTGATGCTGGGGTAGAAGCCTCGACTAATCGGCCGAGCTTGGCATTGGCATTAGCATGTGTAAAGGAATGGGCATTTATTCGAGTCATTCCAATATGCAGCTGTGTGCATAAACTGTGCTCGGAATCGGAATCGGAATCGGTGTCGCTGTTTTGTTTAAAGATCAGTGTCGTGGGTGCGGATAAATTACTTGGATGTGGATTATTTTGCTTCTTGATAAAATACTTGAAGAGAGTTTTGTTCATCTTTAGTTACGGTTGAATCTGCTTCTTGGGTTTTTTTAACTCAGCATCTTCGTCACGCTTGATCTCGGTGTAGCGTTCGCCCTTCAACGAGACAATCTTGTTGTCCCGATAGCGAACCAACTTGCGCGGCTCCATCTTGGGCACCACCGGCTTGTACTCGCGCTGAGTGGCGTTCTTGTCCACATACGAGTACCTGAACGAGCACACGTATAAATTGGCTCAGAATTACCCACCGATTAGTACTCACCTGGCGATGATGCGATTCTTCAGCTCATTATCATCGACGACAACGTTCTTCTTGATGATCATACTGTGCGACTTATCGGTCAGGCTCTGATTGGTCTCCTGGCGATGCAATAGAATCTGAGTGGCACTGTCTATATCGCCCTTGGAAATGGCAATGCAATGCTTGATCTAAATACAAATGCGGGTTGTTATGACCTCACTTCGTCTCAGTATTAACAACCCAAAACTGACCTCAACATAGGCTGCGTCGGGAAACATCTCCTGCAGAGCCTCGGCCTCATCAAAAAAGTAGTCGCAATTGGAGCTGGAGCTATCAGTGGACCCTCCATCGCTGGTCTCGGACAAGTGCTGAGAACGCTTGCCGTGGCTGCCGCCGCTGCTGCTGTTGTTCGACGAGAGCTCGTCCTTCTCCGAAATGGATGAGTTTCGAGCCCGCAGCCTGGACTCCGGTATAATATTCGATAGGCTCAATAAGCTGCAGAATAGTCACATAATACAATCCACACAGGCTAACAGTCGGAGGGGGGAGAACTCACTTGAGCGACAAGTCGACCGCGTCAGGGTTGCCTTGGTTTTTCTCCATCTCTGTCAACTCGTTGGCCAGCTTATAGATCCAATCGCATATGACGCCTTGGTCAATGGTCGGGAACTCCTCGAAATAGGCACCCATCATCTCCACAAAGCCCTCCACATCGAAGCAGGGATCCTGCGAGGCCTCCTCCAATATGGAGATTATATAGGAGAGCACGATCTCATCCACAACTCGGAAATCGGCACCAGGTATATGGCCACTGATGAACTCCACCAGGCTGTGCTTCACCATCTCGTGCTGCTTCTCCAGATTGGTCATGGTTTTGCGTTTCTAGAAAAATCTGTGTATCGGCGAATTTGTTCGTTTCGGTTGTCGGTGGGGGTGTTCGCAGGAACGAAAGGCTTCCCCCTCACTTTTCCTTGGTATATGTCAATAATGCTTGCACGAAACTTCCAAACACAATACAACTAGAGTCCCTCAATCTTTACAGACTGTCGACTTGGGCTCGGAACACGAAATTTCACCACAGCTCTGAACAAAAATTCGATTTAAATAAATGGTTTCGATTTTGCTGCGCCTTCTTTCTTCTTCTTTCCAATCAATAATACCTAGAAATCAGTGTGACCCTAGGGTGTGCGGATTAGTGGCAGTGTGGCTGATCCTCAGGAATATACCGAAATATACCATCTCATTTTTAAAATATACCGTAAGTATACTGACGAGTTATTCAAATTCCTTCATACATATTCCTCGTTTTTGATATTCCGCCGAATATTACTTGCTAGATAGAACGCTCAACCCTGCTCACATCATTTTATACGATTAATGAACAAATTTTCTACTTGACTGGCTTGTTTTAAATATTCTTTTTTTATTAGATTGTGCCTAGAAAAAAGGTTTTAGCGAAAGGGTCAAGCAAATAAGCCGTAAGTCACTACTCGTTCATATTGCTCAATTTGTATATTCCGTTGAATAATGCTGGCTAACTAAGACTCTCAGCTCTGCCCACATAATTTTATGCCATTGATGAATAAATTTTGTTCAGTGTTAACCACTTTTAAGTACTCCTTTTCGTTTTATTTTTACAAAAACTAACTTTACAAAAACGAAAAATTTCAACAAAGAACCAGTCGCAATGTTGTCACTTCAATGTTTCTGGTACTTGCAGACTTGTTGCTTATCAATCGGAGTACGGCAGTAGTATACCCTATTTTGACGCATTTGATTAGTTTCCTGTATAGCCTGATCCCGATGCTCACTCTTGGTCTCCACAAGAGACCAAAATATCGTTTTGATAGCTTTAAAAGAGAGACTGACTAGGTTCTGAATATATTGGAGCCTGAGATGACAAACATTTTCTCAATTCTATAATATCCTTTTCCTTAGGGTATGCAGAATGTCGCCCATGTCGCAGGACATTCTGCTCGTTTTCCCGGCACAAAAGTCTGGCCCATACAAATTGATTGCTGCAGCATCAAGTTTTAAAATGCATTTTTATCGTTTTGAAGAATATGTTTGACGGTTTTTATTGGCCGAAAGCAAAAACATTTCAGTTGACCTGTGGGCCTGTGGAAAAGGGCACCCAAACCACATGAAAAACTAAGTTCCTAGGGCAAGTTCCTGACCAAAATGGCAATTACCCTGCTGAATAGTCGGAAATGGCCGCGACAGAATGTCCGGATGTGTCGTGTTAATATTCCCCAATAACTTCGCATTTTCACCCTTAGCGACTGTCCGAATGTCTCCAGCTTTCGGCTTTTAAAGTGGCCCAGCATGAATTATATACCATCGCCAAACAAAATTATGAATCTGCTTTAGCTCCCGAATATCAACATCTCGTACATTTCCAGTTGCGTTCACCTTTTCAATAGTTGGGAAATGCAGTTCTAATCATCACCATACATGAATCTGCATCGGATCTTTTATCCTGTCTCGTCCGTGATCATACAATATTTTGCATAAGATAGAATTAATTCTGTTACTTAAAGATTTCTTTTATTGACCATGTGCCAACAAATATAACATTGTTTTTTTTTACATTTTTGTAGCATTTTCTTGCTAGTTCCACAAAAGTTTTAAAATACCATAACATTTCGAAAACTGAGCTAGTGTTTTCCAAACACGCTCGGCTCCCCTGAGCCCGCACCCGTCGGTCCGGATCCGGCCACCGCAGCAGAGATTTCCTCAAGAAGTTCATTCGATGAGTGATGACGATTTTGAATGGGAGTCGGATATAAAACATTTTCGTTGTTGTTATTGGCTCGGTTGCGGGAGCTGCCACTGTCGCTAGAGTCCGGTTCGGGTCGATTCGCATTGAAGTCCACCACGGAGCCATAGACCCGACTCAGTAGGGATCGCTGCAGCTGCGCCAGGCAGCTGAAAATATTCCCAAAACTTTAGCAGAAGCTCTGTACTAACGAAGAGGAATACTCACCGCTCCAGCCTGCGTTCACTACTCCAGTCCTGAACGTCATACAGATCTGAGAAACCCAAATCGCTGGCTCGATTGAAATGTCCATGGCTCAGAAGAGACGGTGGAGTAAGTGCTCGCTTGCCATTGGTCCAGCCGCGGGAGTACTGAAACGTCTGACCCATGCAGGCCATGGACAATGTGAAGAGGAACAGAGGCAGTAGCAGGAGACGCATCATGTTTCTGGAAAATATTTACATATATGATATTAAACCATTTATTTGAATGGTAAGTTTGCTATTGTTACCGTTTCAAACCACACACGACGAGGCCTGAGCAACGTCTGAGCTTCTGAGGGTCCTGTCATGGCTTTTATATTGATGCCATCACAGAGCAGAGCAGAGTACTTCCAAGGATGTGCTGGTTATTTGTGGTCCGCTGCCTTCCAGCCATACACCCGCTCTCACTTATGCAGATTAACTGGGATTATTAGCACCCAATTGTTTTAAGGCTGTGGTTAACACCCACATAAAGTCGGGGTCCCCAACCCACAACCCACGCCCAGTACGCTCCAGCTGGCTGCTCAAACTGAATGCATTTGCTGATTGAAAAACTACCACTTGTTGAAAGGCTCTCACACACACGCCCCTGCCGTGGCAGAAGATAAACTAAAATTGCTCCCCCGAAAAGCAATTTGTGGCCACTGCCGGAGGGGGCTGGATTGAAGCTGGCTCGGGAAGTCCTTTGGCTGCTCTGTTATCGGGGAATTTGATTTGCGGGGATTTACCAAAATAAACATCTTTATAAATATACAAAAATAGAAAAAATATACACATGCAACACGGATGGGTTTTAATTGATTCAAAGACTAGTTATCTCGCTGTCGGGAGCGTGGCCACCATTTGCACCATTTCTCTCCAGCTCCACGGCGTTCTTTGCCTGGTCGGCCTTTCGACGTCGCAGAATGAAGTAGCACAAGCTAAGAGAATAAATAAATGTATATTTATACATATTTAAGGTTGAGCTCAGAAAAAAGATATATGTACATACACAAAGACCAGCACATTGGGGATGTAGAAGATTTCGCCAAACAGAAAAATTGCCCCTGGGAAGGAGTCGACGGTTCTCTTGTAGATCTCGCTAAAGATGGGCGGAAAGATGAACTGGGCGATGGGTTCGCTGATCCCAAAGATGGAATACATTTTACCTAGCCAAAAGAAAGGAATTAATATTCATTTTGGGAAAGACTTTCATCAACTTACTTAGCTCATCGCCATCCACGATGCTGGAACCAATTGTCTTGATGGCAATCACTCGAAGACTGACGAACATGTCCACCACGCCAGCCACGTAGAAGGAGGCAGTAGAACTGGCAAAGGCCTGGACAATGCAAGTGGGAATTACACAGGACTCGCAATATTTTAGGCACAGTAAAAACTCACAAACAACACACGGGAGCACACAATGGAGAGGGCCGAGAGCATACCAATCATTGAGTCCGAAACCTTGAGCAGTTTACTCAGGATTGCTGTGCCAATGAATGTGCCCACCAGGGCAGCACCGCTCGAGAGAGTCAGATATATGCTGAAATCGTTACCGTTCCAGGAGAGTTTTTTCAGGGTGAACCGATACCAGTAGTCGTTCTCGCCCGAGGTGGGTCCCACCGTCAGGAAGTAGGCCCACAGGAGGAGTACGAGCAGCAGGCGTCCATTGTTGGGGCGCTTAATCAACGGAAACTTGAGGCAGTCCACCACCAGCGTGGGATCAAAGAGTTCCTTCAGGAAGGAACGCCTTGGCGGAACCACCTCAACCTTCGGTTCCATCTGCGGTGTTAGCTGGAAGTTGACGTTCTTGTTCACATGATGCTCCTCCAAGTTGGTAGATTCGTAGGCCATGTTGTCCGTGCCCTGCTTGGGTGGCAGCGTAGTCGGCAATGGTGGTGGTTCATTCGGGCTTGACCCGTTGGCGGCCGTTGATTTTGGTGTGGTTTTTATTTCTTTGATAAAGAAGATGATATACAGAATGGCAATTATCTGGAACGCGATGGCCGACGCAAAGGATACTGAAAGCGGGGATAATAGTTAATTAATATTAAAAAATATTGTATTGTAAAGTATTGTCCCTGTGGTACTCACGTGTATAGCCCAAGGTCTGAAAGAGTAGCCCACTAACCGGTTGCCCTATGAAGGGTACACCCGTCACAAACATGGCAAAGATGCCGAACCGGAACACACGGTCTTCTTCGGGTGTGGCTATGGTGATATAACTGTAGATCGCCATCAAACAGAAGGTGAGTCCACCGAATAGAGCCGGTACAATAGCCTCACAGTATGCTCCAAATTCCATTGGCAGCGAGTCAAAGAATATCGCAGAGATGAACTGGCCTATGGATAAACGAAGGTACATATATACATAGCTCTTATTATAGTTTGGATATACTTACATCCAAAGCCTAACGCCTCACCAATGATGGGCAATATCATGCATGGCTTACGCTTGTTGTAACGATCCGCCCAGCCTCCAGCGAAGAGCAGAACAATCAGGGGAAAAATAGCAGCTGCGATGATAAAAATGCTCAAGTTTACATACGATATCTTAATTTAATCATGATAATAAACCCCTTTCGTAGTCTGAACTTAATCATGTTTCAAGATAACATCAATCTAAACCTCATTTAAGATGTCAGAGCTAAGAGAGCTATCTGTGGGACTTTGTTTGATCGTGAGATATCGCAACGCATAGCAAGTAATGCTGAGTAATATACTCAAAAATGCTTCCATGTAATTCGCTTGTAGTACATGATATGATCAGAAATATCAATTAGTATTTCAAGACCGTCTCTACTACGTCCCGCTACTGCTGATGCAATGCATTTTAATGGAATTGATGTTTCTTTAATTTAGATACAAAAAATGTTAACTCCTCGCAGAAAACCGGAATCCCGAGTCAAGCTCTATGTAAATGACATATTTGGATGTGTTTGTATGGCAATATTTAGAAAATAAATTGTTTGTAGACAGCGCCGATGAAATGCCATCCATGGCAATGGCAATGGCAGTGAACCCACGAAAGTTGTAAAGAACAGGTTTGACTATCTGTACGATAGTCGCTGGGCTTTAAATTAATCACTCCAATGATATAATGGGGAGAAAACGCATGAGGGAATCAATTAAAGACGGTAATTAGATGTTGGGATAACCACTAATTTCCGACTATATCCATCAAATTGTAGAAGCGAATCTTCTTTGCACAAAAGAATCGACCTATCCGAGCCCCAGGGGGTAGGTAGGCGAGATTTAATATGCAGAGGCAAAGAATTTCGTGTATTTCTGGAAACTGGAAACTTGAAATTTCGGCAATGCTAATGACAAACGTTAAAACGTGTATGTATATAATGAACGAATTGTGTTATGAGAAATGTACGGGTTATAAATATACAAATCACACCTATCGGGGCACGTTTGCCCGACACATCGGCGGCTAGGATTTGCGCCTCGAGTTCCGCCTTGCAGACGGTATAGTTGAAGCCTGGTGCACCGATGGCCAGTCCGATCAGATCGGCAGTGGCCCCCGTGGTAGTGTTCTCAAACGTAAAGTCGTCGCACTCGATGCCCAGCTCCGATTTATCCAGCATGGTATCGCAGACTATCTTGTTGTAGCCGAGATTCACTCGGCATGCCTTATCCAGAGGGAAGTTCTGCATGGCCACGGAATTGAAGACGGAGGCCATAAAGTAGAAGAAAAAGAACGGCTCGATGACCAGATATTTGCGATACTGCCAAAGCTTCTGGAAGTAATTGAGCTTGGGCTCCTCCACGGCAGGAGGAGACGCCGCCGCCGAGTCCCCGGATGACCTTTGTTTTGCCATTTTAAAGCGTGCCGAATAATGAATTCCCAATTCGAGTTATATTCGTTGGCGTATTCTTAGCACATTTCTGTGATTTAATCAACACGTCGCGCCAAGTTCTAAACACAAACTAAACTTAACGACGGGTCCGGACCGGACCAGGTCCGAGCAGCAGCAGCAGCCGCTTGATACGCACAAGAAACTTGTTCAATCATTTCTTCTTTTGGGTTTTGTGTTTGTCAGCTTCGATTAGAGCAGAACAATGATAAATATGAAGAATTGTCATTTCGAACGAAACGCTGTGGAATTTGCATGCTCTCCCTCTCTCGCACAGCGTTACCTAAAAGAGCAGCAGCAATTAATTTGTTTTTTCCCTTCTGCTGCTGGCTCTGATATTGTTGTTGCAATGACCAGCAATCAAGTATTGAGCGCCTGCCTGAGACGTTATTGCGGCGGCCTGGAGAATCTCAATGCCAACGCTGGCGCGCGTCTAGACCGGCACATCTAATAGAGTTTACAAAATACTACGTTATACATGTTATAGAAGTGTTATTTATATTTGTAAGTATTTGCTATCAACTACAATTAGAGGGCGCATCAGCTGTGTCTACTCTGTCCAGCGGTGAGTGCAGTTTTGGTTGGTGCACACGTAGTACAGTCGCATCTCCTCCTCGGCACGTCGGGTCTGGGCCTGGAAGAAGACCGCCTCACGATGCGAGCACTTCGGGCAGGCATGGTCTTCGGTGCGCGGCAGAGTGGGATCTGAGATGACGTCGGGCACGATGTGGGTCAGTTCGTCGATTTCGTGCATAATTTTGTTCACGTATATGCAATTGGAGTCCGCCTCCTGCTTGTAGTCACAATTGCGGCAAGCATACAGCAGGATTTTGTTCTCCTTGTCCTCCTTGGGGTACAACATGTTGTTGCACTCCTGGCAGAACCGAATGCCCACGAAACCGGGGCCCTCGGTGTGCGACGCGTCGAACGCAGTGGTCATTAGGTCTACGTGAGTGGCATGCTTAGTAATTTGCACTTTTCCATATTATCTTTTAATAATATTTACCTGATTTCATGAAAATGCCGACTAGTGCTGGTACTCGTAAAATGATTGTTCGATACAACCCCGATAGACGACAGTGCTGCCAGACCAGCGGGTAATGACGTGCAACCCTGATTCTTTGAGCAAAAAGTAAACAGTGCGTCGTTTCCGTCAGAACGGCAGCGCCGATTGTGCTCAGCGATAGACGATAGAAGTAACCTGTACAACACAGCGCTTGTCGTGCTGGAATTTTGAAGCACAGAGTTAGGTATTATTATTATTATTATTTTGTGGTGTCAATGTTAAAAACGCAGCATATATATTCAATCGGTTGTGAGCTAGATCTCGGGAAGTGGCGCAGTCACAGCGCAGTCAAGTGGCATAGTTTTGCATAGTGATATTGTGGCGAGCACGATCGCTGCCCCTACTTTCTTTCGTCGAGGACAGGACAGATACAGTTATTGCGAGACACCGCCTGCAAGGAACTTTCGGCCCGCATCATATCCCTCGGTGCCGCCCGGCAGAGTAGAAAACAATATTGAAAAGTATGCAACAAATTTCAATATGTATTAGAATTGTTTTCAACCCCTTAAATATATATTTTTCTTACAAAGACGCGTAAAAGAGCGAGGAGCGAAACTTGTTGCGTCTGCTGTGCGTCAGCACTAGTGTGCTCTCGCTCGCTCTCTCCCACTCTCACGCTCTCCAGTGATCGATTGAGGGGCCGCCATTTTTCTTCGTGAGCTGCTTATAGGCGTTGCTGACGCTGGCAAAAAAAGACAAATTAGATTAAATCACGTGCCCAAAAGTAGGCTAGTCATGGATCGGCGGGTCCTTGATGCATTTTTCAACACGTTCTTCTAATAGATCCTCTTCCTATAGATACACCCAGAAAGGCCAGCCAGCATGAGCGCCGCAAAGGAGGGAAGAAAGACAGATGGTGGTTCCGAAAGGAGCAGCCGGGCCAGCACAACCGTACTGAAAATAATTGGTGTGGACAAACTATGCTTGCCAAAAGTCAAGGGCCCGACGACGCGCATGAAGCTTCTCAACGACGTTGCCGCCTCTGCCAAGCCGGAGAAACGTGGTAGCCTTGGTGGCGCTCGCATTAAAATTCTCAACGAGGAGGCATTGTGCACCCCGAAAGCCGACAAACGCAGCCCCCAAAAGACAGTCAGTCCATCGGGCTCTGTCAAGATATTAAACGAGAAGCGAATGGCCCCATCGACGGCTACGGCTGTGGAGACGACAAAGATCAAGACGTCCCCAACCAAACAGAAGAAGAAAATGGACCATTACGTGCTGCAGGCCGTAAAGGCCGAGAACAGTAAAGTAGACACCACATCCAGTGTTTCCGAGGAGGACGAGAGCATTGCCTTCATCCTGGCCGACGACGAAGAGGCGGAAGCTGTGGCTGGTCGAGCCAATGACGAGGAGATTGTGGTTTCAAGTGCAGATGAGGACAATGAGGACGATGAGGAGGGCGATACTTCGGTGGAACGCACCAGTAGCGGTCAGGGGACGATCAAGGAAATGGTCGAACATGTTTGCGGCAAGTGCTACAAGACGTTCCGTCGCGTGAAGAGCCTGAAGAAGCACTTGGAATTCTGTCGCTACGACAGTGGCTATCATCTGCGCAAGGCGGAAATGCTCAAGAACCTGGAGAAGATTGAAAAGGATGCTGTGGTGATGGAGAAAAAGGACATTTGCTTCTGCTGCAGCGAGAGCTACGACACCTTTCATGTGAGTGTTTGCCCGTTACATATGTGATTCAATCAATAATTATCGTCCTCCCCCAGTTGGGTCACATCAATTGCCCCGATTGTCCAAAGTCATTCAAGACGCAGACCAGCTACGAGCGTCACATCTTCATCACGCACTCGGAGTTCAACACCTATCCCTGTTCCATTTGCAACGCCAATTTGCGCAGCGCCGCCTTGCTGACGCTGCACGAGGAGCAGCACAAGTCGCGCGGCAAACCGTTTGCCTGTAAGATCTGCGGCAAGGACTTTACCCGCTCGTATCACCTGAAGCGCCACCAGAAGTACTCGTCCTGCTCGGCCAATGAGAACGATACCATGAGCTGTAAGGTGTGCGATCGTGTCTTCTATCGCCTCGACAATCTGCGCTCGCATCTGAAGCAACATTTGGGCACACAAGTGGTGAAAAAAGCAGAGTATATGTGCCACACCTGCAAGAACTGCTTCTACAGCCTGTCCACGCTGAAGTGTGTAGAGTCCACCCAATATTCAATACTTCTATTCCACTAATTGTCATTATCTTGCAGCATACACATACGCACCCACACTGGGGAGAAGCCTTTCGATTGCGATCTGTGCGACAAGAAGTTCTCGGCCTTGGTGGCTCTCAAGAAGCATCGACGCTACCACACCGGCGAGAAGCCCTACAGCTGCACAGTGGTAAGTGGCAGAAAGTCCATCGTTCCTTTAGCATTCTTTCATTCCCATTTGTCTTACAGTGCAATCAAGCCTTTGCCGTCAAGGAAGTGCTCAATCGCCACATGAAGCGACACACCGGAGAGCGTCCGCACAAGTGCAACGAGTGCGGCAAGAGCTTCATCCAGGCCACCCAGCTGCGCACCCATTCCAAAACCCATATACGTCCCTACACCTGCGATTTGTGTGATGAAAAGTTTAAGACAGAGAAACAGTTAGTAAACCCAGTAATCGGAGTATAAAACCACCATTAATTATGCCTTCCAAACCAGACTCGAGCGTCATGTTAAGGAGCACACACGACAGAAGCGCGCCTCTTTCTCTTGCACTGAATGCAAGCGTACCTTCCGCACCCCGGCCTTGCTCAAGGAGCACATGGATGCCGGCGATCATTCGCGTAAGCCATTGAACATCTCCTGTCAAATAATTGGCCCATTTACTCTCTCCTTTGACTTACAGCGAAGTCGCAACGCGCCAAGCGCTCAACCACCAAGGTTATCGAGCGCACAGACTGCGCCATTTGTGACAAGAACTTCGACAGCACCGAGACCTTGCGCAAGCATATCCGCTCCGTCCACGAATGCGATCCGGATGACATCTTTGGCGTCGAACCGCCAGCAGCAAAGCGCAGCAAGAAGTCCAAAAAGTCTGATGACGCAGACGAAGATACAGAGACCGTAGACCTTAATACATCGGCGGGTTCGCTGATTTCCAGCCAAACTGACGGGAATGGCGTTGTGGTCAGGGAGTTTCTGGTGGACGATGGCACTGCACAGACCATCTTGCTGGAGAACGCAACGTACACCATTCTGCCCCTGGATGGGGGCAACAGCGGCGGCACTGAACAGGCGCCCGGAACTGGGAACAATGTCAAGCCGGAGGCCAACAAAAGTGAGTCGAAGAAAGCGGCGGCTACCCCGGTTGTCAAGAAGGAGCAGCGAAAATCCCTGGCGGCCAGCTTGGCCGCAGCTATTGCGGACAACATGGAGGAGCCGACAAGTGACGATGACTTCAGCGGCGACGTACTCACCGAATCCGACCTGAAGCTCAAGGAGAATGTGGGCAAACTGATTGACATGCTGGTCGATCCGCACGTCCTCAAGAAGTACGGCTGGCCCAACACCTCCGAGGAGACAATGCTATGCAAGGTGATCGAGAACTGTGGCCACGATCTGAGCAAGGATGAGGAGAACTACTCCGAGCTGGAATACGGCGATCGTATGCGCGAATATTGCAAGCTTCTCTTCACTGTGGTCATCCACAACGAATCTATTCGGTCCCTGCTCAACAATTTCCCCATCGACGATGTCATCGAGTATGTCCTGGGCGACGAGGACCAGGACGAAGAGGAGGAGGATGGCAAGCAAAAAGACAGTGATGCTGCGTCCGACCACAAGTCGGAAACCGCAGAGACCCCAGCTGATAAGGAATAGGGAGCATGAAACACCTTAATTTTAGATAAAGTTATACTTTTTGTTTCACTTTCGGTTCAAACACCAAGTGACCTTAGAAATGAATGCATCCTTTCCGCCTGTTTATTTGCTAGGTGCATCCTAAACGACTTATACACAAAAAAAAAAACACCCTTGCTGAAGAATGTTGAAGATATTTTAGTTATTTTTATATCATATTTACACATTACACATACTACTAAACTATATCCATGCGGGACATCCTATCCAACTATTTTTGATAGAAACATATTAAACACAATTATTAACGATGTACTTTCTTGCTTCTTCTTCATTGTTCCATCAGCATCTTGAGGATGCGCGCATTGTTTTGGAGAATCTTCTGGCGACTCTCGTCGATGAGCTCCTCGTACTCCACAATACTGGCATCGATCTGCATCAGTTGATCCTTCATGGGCTCTGTGGCGGAGGCAGTGTGGCTCCTCTCGCGCTTCAGTTCTGTGGCTGCCTGTGTGTAGGTGTCGCGCCACATCGTCAGCTCTAGCTGCATGGCATCAATGTCCTCGGGTATGAAGTCCATCAGCTTACCGAGAGGATTCACCGCCTTGGTTAGGCTCTGTATGAGATCGCGCAGATCGTTCACCTGCCGTGCTGAACTCTGACGGGTGCCCTGATTGGGCTGAGTGGCTGGCTGCTCCGCCTCGGCAGTCTGTTGCACGAGCTCCTTTTGGGTTTCCAGGATCTGCTGCACCAACCGACCCTGTGCATCGAGCTGACCCTCCAGCAGCGGCTCCTCTGCAGCGCCCTTCTCAATGTCGTGGGCGTTGGCGTCTTCGATGATCACCAGATTCTCCCCGTCATCGTCCAGGTCCCCGAAAGTCTCCAGCTTCACATTGATGCCGGACATCTTAAGCTGATCGTTGGGCTGCAGCACAATCTCCACATTGCGACGCCGCGGGGCGCCGGGACGAGCGGAGGCTGGCCGAGCACTTGGCGGCCGCAACGAAGTGCGTGGCCGCTGATTGGTCTCCTTGGAGTTCTCCCGTGTCAGGGGAGCCGCCACTGGCCTGCCATCCTGGTTGTTGTTGGAGTCTGCCTGTTGGCTCGGTTCTGGCTGCTGCTGCTGCTGCGTCTTGACCTCATTCGAGGCCGGCTGTTCTGGTTCTGCTTGGACCTGCCTCTGACTGGCACTCGAGCGTCGGCTTTTGCTGGATGATTTGCGACTCTCTGATTCAGTTGGGGGCGCTGTCAGATTGGTTTCCGCAGCAGGCTCAGCTACCGCTTCCTTGGATACTTTTGGAGATGAGGATGGCGATGATTTCTTGGGTGCAACTTCGGGCGATGCCTTTTTGGGTGCAACTTCAGGGGATGCCTTTTTGGGTGCAACTTCAGGTGATGCCTTTTTGGGTGCAACTTCAGGGGATCCTTTTTTGGGTACAGATTCAGGTGACGATTTCTTGGGTACAACATCAGGTGATGCTTTCATGGGTACAGCCTCTGGAGATGCTTTTTTGGGTACAGCTTCGGGGGATGGCTTCTTGGCGACCGCCACGGGCACGGGGGACATCGTATCGCTCTCAGTTGAACCCTGCCCCTTGGCCTTCGCCTTTTGCTTCACTGGCGATGGGCTCTTCTGCTTGGTACCCTGCCGACTGGGCTTGGCGTCACCAACAGTCGCTTTGGTCCTTTTCTGAGTTGCTTTTTCCTTTTCCGTTGGCGTAACGCCGGATGCCAGGGCCTGGGTGGCCTTGCGCAGCTTCTGTTCTTGGGGCGAGACGCGCTTTTCCTTGACTCGCTTTGGCTCCTCTTCCTTGCCAGCAGGTGAGGTTTGCTTGCTGGAGGGTTTGGGCTCCTTTTTGGGCTTTTCCTTGGCCGGTTTGCTGGTGGCAGCGGCAGTGGCAGCCACCAACACCTGCTCGACAGCCTTCTGCCAGTCCAAGCTCTGCTCAGCCACACTGGCCATAGCCTGGAGCAGCTCGTTGGTTAGCTCGGGCTCTTGCCCAGCCACTATCTTGGAGGTGCGCACCTTGAGGTCCTTTTTCGTTGTTAGTTCTGTGGATGAGACGTGAGTCAGTCAATAGCTTTGGGGGCCCTTCTTTTCCCCATGACTCACTGATCGCATCGATCATCTTTTGCAGGAATCGTGTCTTGGCCTCGCGGTCTCCTATGTTTTCGAACTGTTGCTCCTCAGTCGTGTACAAGCCCTCAAAGTTGCCCGTCTGCTTGATGAACTGCCAAGAGAAGGAGTCTTGAGACTGAAGGAGTGATGGGACTGGAAGGGTGGGTATCTACTCACCGAATTGAACACGTCCATTAGAAAGCGAAAGGGTGGCTTCTTCAGCAGCTTCTCCGTGAGTGGGGGCTTCTTAATATACTTACCCAAGGCCGTTTGGGTGGCCTTGATAATGGCATCCAGTTCTTGATCCGACGACATCTTCTGTGCGTTTCTTCCTTTCTATTACAAATTTTCTAATGTTTTTCCCGACTGCTGTTTGTTGTGCCCCGGTCACGGTTGTCCTGACAACCAGTTAACCCATGAACCGAGCAGTCATGCGCATGCTCCTGGACTAGGAAATTCCTTTGGTGAATAGAAACTCTAATGGGATCCTGGATCGTTAAGGCCAGGGACCGTAGGGATTATTTAATTATAGTCGAGCAGAGCAAAAAATATACGGCAATGCAATTATTGGCTGGCTGTCACATGCTCTTGCTTGACGGGGTGCTGGCGTCACCGATCATATATGTATGTATGTAAAAGGACGCCGATGGCAACGAAACGAGGCAGTGTGTTAGCGATCATGGTAAGAAGCAGTCCGTAAAGGAGTTTTTGAAGAGAGACAACGGTGAAGTCGCAGAGTCGAAGGACTAGAGCCTCAAGGAAGCAGTCAAGGGCTGGCCTGTTCAAGGGATCCGCCGGCAGCGGCGATTCGCCAGTAGAAAGGAAGTAGAAAGGGAGAAGGAAGAACCACTCGCTGGAGGAAAAGGCGGAAAAAGGTGATCGGTAAGAGGTTGAGAAGAGGCCGAAAATTGAGAGGCTTTGAGGTTAGGGTAGGAGCCACGATGTCCAGGGTGATAGCGGGTCAGTTCACGTAAGGTCTCAGCGGATCTGAGGTATCAGAGTCATTAGTCGTAGTGGTAGTGGAACTGAGAGCGGATGTGTTGGAAGACTAACTCATCGCTCTGGAAGAGAGAAGAGCTTCAGAAGGCCATCGGTCAATTTATTTCGGAATTTCTCTATATTCCGGATACTCGAAATAAGAGTTAAAAAAAATTTAATGCAAAAAAATAATGGTAATAAAACTGTATCATGTTCCAGCATATATATTGTGGACCACGAGGCGACTCTAGTTGAATTCTAGTTGCGATTAAAACTTTTGGTTTTGTTCCAGCACAATTCTCACTTTATTACGATACTTTATAAAATGTTCTCTCTCTCTGTCTCATACACAACGCGACTTGGCTCAGATATGAATGGGTTTCGTAGAGGATTGCACAAAGATTGGTATAGATTTTGCAGTTGCGGTTTTTAATACTCTTTCGAAAGCTAACGAATAAATTACATTTACACAGTAGTTATTATGTGGTTATAGCATTAGGGCCAATTTCTCGATCAGCGTAGCCAAAACGGAGCAGCAGACAGACTATATACAATTAACATTAATAATTCTCATAACTAAAATTATACACAGTGCGATATTAAAGCTAAAGTCGTACACAAAAGAATATAAACATAATTGGGTAGGAGCAGGAGGGGTGGGGTATGGGGTATAGGGTATAGGGTATAGACAGAAGGGGGCAGGTCAGACCTTGCAAGCAAATTGGCGGCAATTACGAAGGGCTGACACAATTTAAGATCAAAATACAACATGGACAACAAAAGGGCCTTGTCATCGCACTACAGGTTTGTATAGCGCAGCGCTACGATTAGTTCTAGTTATGCTTTATCGTAGTATATATAGTAATAGGTATACGGTATAAGGTATTAGGTATAGAGTAGGGTAAGGTATGTGTACTGCTTGTCGATATAGATAACATTCATATATAGTACGTATATTACATTTAGAGTACGCTGCATTCCGTGCGCGGCAATTAAAAACAATTTGTAAAATTAACTCTCAGTTGAATTTAGGCCAGTCTCAATCCCAGCGACTGCTGCTGCTGCAGCTGCAGCTGCTACAACTCAAAGAAGTCATCCTGCTGCTTCTCGAGACGCTTCAGCGAGTTTTGAACGCGACGCGTTTGGGTTGTGTTCAACAGCTGCGCCGTGTCCGAGTTCCCGCTGCCCGTCGAACTGTGTCGCTGGTAATGGGGCGGACGTTCATTGCTGTTCTTGTAGGAGTTGTTTAGCGGATTGCGGCGCTGTGGAAACACATCAGCACTGGCGCTGATGCAGATATCCGCATCACTCTGACTGCTGACCAGGCTGCAAAGGAGAAACGAAACCAAAGGAATCAGTATGGAAGTCAATATGGAAAGGTCTATAATCTGTTGGCTTACTCCTTGGAACGCTCCACATATTTGCGCGACTCGGAAATGGTGTTGTCGATCTTATTGAGGAAGTCGTTCATGCACTTGCGGTTCTCCTCCTCGGGCGTCATGGCCGCCACCGAGTCCAGGGACTTGCTCTGCTTGCTGCCGCACGCACTGTGATTGTTCATCATGGCCGGATCCTCGTCGCTGGCCTGCACCAGCAGCTCGCCAGCAATCGAGTATGGACGTTGCGGTTGCTGCTGTGTGCTAGAGCGCACGCTCGCTGCGGAGCCGCTTGTGTTGCAGCTGCTGCTGCTGCCTCCATTGCTGCTACTGCCACTGCCACTGCTGCCGCTGCTGCCACTGCTACTGCTGCTGCTGTTCATGAAGTTGTTGGCTTGCACCAGGTTATTGGCATTCTGCTGCGCCTCGCGCTGCACATTTACATCGGGTGTGCCCGGAGGTGTGGCCAGGACATCAAACGCAGCGATTGAATCGACGCCGCCCACCTGCGGATAGTAGGGCGAGTTCTTCTCGACGGGCACCAGCAGGAATTGACGCAAGAACAGGCTGTCCGAGGCAAAGAGCCGGTTAGCGCGGCGTATTTGTTCCGTCTGAAACACGATAGATATGTGGACATATTAGTATCACTCAATCCACTCAATTATTGGCAATTGCATCAACGACAGCTGATTGATTGATTGATCGATCGATCGGCGGTACGCTTGATGGATGCCTACTGCTAATCGTATGGATGCGCTGTCTTTTCTGTCCGCCTGCATATACGGACAATGGTGTCAAGTCAAGTCAAGCCGAGTCCACTGGCTCTTTGGGGCTGTACAACAATTATTATGATGGCTCTAATCATTAGAGATGCTCTGGGCCTCAGTACTAGCTAAATATTGTCCCAGTTGCTGGCCAAACAGCTCAGTTCCCATTGTGGACATAAATCATATGCAGCAATCTGTCAAGTCGAGAATTTCTAAAACATTTGGCTGCAGTATGCCCAGCGATAACGCGGCTGATAAATATCTAGACACCTGCCAGTCCCTTTCCTCGTGTCTGTCTGACTTTCTGTCCTGTTTTGTTTGCCCAGTCGCTAGACGACTTATCACATCTCCCACATGTGCTGCTCCTACAGGTGTGCTGTTGTGCTGGCGTGGAGGGTGTTGTTCGCTCGTAAATTAGACGAACCGAACTATGGCACGGCACTGAGTGAAGGAAGGGACCCACTCGCAGACATTGAGTGGGTTGCTGTTGCTGTGGAGTTGCTGGGGCAACATTGCGATTATTAAATCAATAAAAATCTAATTTCATGGAGTTGCCATTTAAAATTTAAAGGTCTTGCGTGACCACAACGGCATGTGGGTCATCCCTTGGTTCGTAGGAACTTACCGTGCAGCCATATTTCAGAGCTATACCCTGCAGTGTGTCCGTCTTCTCAACGATGTGCCGTATAAGGGTCTCGTTGTTCCGCATGCTGTTGCAGCAGGTGCTGCCGTAGCGCTTGAGGGTGCGCGAGGAGTCGCGTATTGATTGCTTCTCGTTGAACATGAATTCCGTGTCATCCATATCTGGCACGATCTCTTGAAACTGCAAGAATAGACAAAGGCATAACGGGGTTTAGAAAGTTGCATTTATTTTCGATTCTGATGTGATGTCATGGCCACAACGTAACACCCATCCCACACCCCCTACCACACACCCACACACACTGCTATGTACATCGACTAGTATGTGATTTGGAGTGCCACCGATTTCCGCCTTAATTAATTTGTGCACTCACCCGAGGGCGCTCCTAGGCGCCTATGCAACACCCCGGACGGTGTCAAGCGGTAACTGTTACTCCAGCCCCACACTGCCGAACGAACCCACACAGCTGCAGTCCCCTCCCCCGTCCAGAGACCACCTCCAAAGCAACTTTTCAAATACGAACCACAGAAGCCCAACGCCTTTTACTTTTCACTGGCCTCCCTCTCTCCGCTGGCAGCACTTTCAATTTTGCAAATTCGCGACGTTATTTACCCAGCTAGATACATACGTATGACGAAAGCACACGCGTCGACTCTTTGTGCCGTCCCATATATAGTAATTTTTTGTAAATTTGCTGTGATTTTCTGCTTTCTGTTTACTACGTGTTTACACTTACAGCCAGTGTGACCCTCAAAATACACCGTAAATATAGCGATGAGAAAAACGAACTTAGCCCACTCAACCCCCCCGCATTTAAGCAGGTGAGCTACGGAAAAAAATACGGTTTGTAGGTTATTCTTGTAGATCCATCTTACCCATCTTCTTTCCTAACTAAAAGACAAGGATATCTATCAGCTGAACTGCGCTAGTGTCCGTCCAGTTTCACCATTTTCGTGGAGTGTTTTTTAACAATGGTCCACAATGGGTTAATCCTTCTCTGCCCATGATTGGCAACCATTTTCCTCGATTTTGATCTTCGGTCGAATATTACTGACTAGCTAGAACCCTCAACCGTGAACACATAATTTCATCCGCTAGGTGCATCAATTTCCTACAAGATGTGCTAGATTTAAGGCCTCTTTTTTGTTTAAACAAAAGAGGGCAATAAAAAAACAAATGCACATCGAAGCGTAATGACGGTGCTGCCACATGTCAGCAAAGATGGCGCGCTTTTGAATTGGCAGTGGTCAGTGCGCGCGCGTTGTTATTGTTGCCTTTGTCTCAAAAACAGACTTTGTTGCTAATTGTCTTTGGCTGTGGTTGCTGTGGGTAACTTTTTCACGTGATCCGCCGCCGTCTACGTAAACGTCTTTTAATGTATTGTATATATTTAGTCAGGTTCGAACCTGTTTGAACAAAGCAAGTCAGCCAACAACAGAGCACAGCTGCTGATGGTGCTGCTGCTACTGCCGTTGAGCCTGCTGCTGCAGCAAATATTGAAATTAGTGGACGACGTGCCGGCGATTGTTAATTAACATGTGACTGTATTTCTAACTGATATCTGAGCCCCAGCGTATGCGCAATATTTGTGCATTATTGCAGCTGCCATGGCCTGGCCCAGACCGGCTGTGGGCAATTACTTCCTTGGGCAACTATTTGCATTACGATTTGCCAGCGGTAGCTGGAGCCTGCTGGCTGTTAAGGTCAACAGCAACAAGTTGCACTTAGCTCTGCTCAAATGTTTCTTGTCTGCAGCTCTCTGTTTGTGCTCACACTCTTATTTATGTTTGGCAAATATTTTGCTGATAAGCTTTACCGATAACACCCGCTCACACACTCTCAGCTCTGCCTGCCCCCTATCTGATTGTATCTCGACGATCTAATACAAAAGAGGCGCGAAATTAAACGAATAGAAAACGGTCATTGACATGCTTTGACATGCTATGCCACTCGTTTTAAGGGGGGGGGAAGGGGGAAGGGTTGCAAGGGGACTCCCTCGGTGAAAGCACTCTTCAAATTTGTAATTCCAGGCACAATAAACCATACACACCTGAGTAATGATCACAACACGAGCACACGTCTGCCTCTACCTCTGTTTCGAGGGGATATCTTTTATTATTTTTTGCGTTTATTGATGCAAAAATTAATGTTAAATGGCACTTTTGGCACATTGGCTCTAAAAGAAGCCGCCTGTAAATCTCCGCTCAGACAGTGCGATCTTCGATGCTAAAATTAAAACATCAGACATGCTTCGGTGGCTCCTCAGTGCGTCTGAGTCACTCGCGGGGGGAGGGGGGTAACAAACCATTGTCCAAGAATGACTTTAGACGGAGGGGGGGGCGGGAGATCGGAGCCATAAATTAGCCACAGACTGTGTCAGAGCAACTAAATTGTGAGCTCATAAATATAATGATATCGCTTCTAATCTATTTCAATTTGTTGCTTTTCAACGAGTAGCTAGCTGCTCGCGCAGCTGGCTCAAATTTATGGAATTGTGCAAGCGCACAAAAATTATAACCGAAGGTTAAACTTAAGTAACCAAACGAATAGACAGAGAGACAGTCAGCCGGCTGCCACTATCTTTAGTATTAATTAAAACTTCCAAATAGGGAAATTGCAAATTGATAAACACAGCAACAGAACACATCAGTACAAATCAGAGACAGCCAAAAACAATTTGTACTACGTGACTGAGAAATAAGAAGCTCCAAATATCTATTCAGATATTTCGTGTGTCTGGGAGGCATTCCCCGCGACACTATCTGGAGCATTGGTTAATGGCGGAAAATACTGGAAAAGAGAATTCTTTGTAGACACGATACGCCGGGAGACTCGTGATTTCTTGCGAATTTCGTGTCACTTGTTAATAAATATTGACCTTAAGATAGATGTGGCTCTTGCAGATGATTCAGACACTGCTAACACACCCATTATATGTTGGGTCGTGACTGTTCTGCAGATAGTGATTTCCTATCAAAGTGTAAACACTACCTACCCATCATCACTCTTCTTTGAGGCTACCAATCCTTGTCACAAATACCGCGAAAAGCACATCCTTTCATGTCACTCAACAGCCCGCCCGGCCGACCATGCACTCATTTGCTTATCAGGGTATTAGCTGGAAAGTCCCTAAAGAATTTCGACTTTGTAATACCCCCGGGCTCTGGGGTCTTAAAGTGTCCGCGTCAAGTGTTCCGAGTCTTAAGGGGTCTTTTCATTCAAGTTTATTTATATTTCTTGATAAATTTAATGGATGGGCTGAGCTCTTCTTCGTTCAGTCGTTGCCTGGTAAATGCCTCAAGTTGTTGCCTGATTTTGTGGCTAGCTAAGGTGTCTAGCCGCCTGTTGACTCCCCCTTGACCAAGGCCAAGTGCAGTGAATACAGTCTGTCATTCAGTAACAACAATTATTGATTGTATTTCCCATAATATCTAAGATTTTTGTTGTTTGTCCTACGTGCACTTCACTACGTATACTAGTGGGTATTCATCAACGTGACATTTTATGATATTCAAAAAAAAGAGCTCATACTAGAGAAATGCATAAGAATGCTGTCCATGACAGTGGTTGCACCCTGTAATCAGTTGGAGTGGAAATTGGAATCACTTTAACTCAGTTTTTGGACCCTCAGGGTTTCCATATTTCATGATCACAAATATACCCGACTAATAGGTATGCAATAAGACTCTACACGTGTACTTTTTCCTTCTGGGGTACAAAGCTATTCAAGTGGAATACAGAAAGAGTCTTTCTTTTGGAATTCCCAAGATAAAAGAGTCCCGTCCCAGTCCAGATACTCATTATTAAGCGATCCACAGAGATGCTGTCATCAGTGGGAACTTCCGCACAGGCAGTAATGAGGCTTCTCTTCCGTCATGTACTCGTTTGCACCAGAAACAACATCCAGTGTATTATGGACTCTCTTTTTCTGTGTCTTGTGTGGCTAATAAGCCCGGGGTTTTATAAAGTTTCCGTGAGTTTTTGTGGTTTTTGCGGTAGATACGACACCGATTTGTCATACAAAATATTCCCTAGAGAGCACACGACTAGTCTAGTACAAATTAAGATCGGGTACAAGAACCCTTGAGACTGAGACGGAGACTGAGACTATAGAGACTGTCGCGTTTTCAAGTTTTTGTTGTTGTGTTCCTTAACGACTCTCTGCACTTGGGCGAATGATTGATTGTTCGCTTGGTTTCATAATAGTACATATGTATGTGATTGTCATTAAAACATCTGGGAAGCCATCAAGTGACTATCAATATGATTTATTCAGCCATTAATTATATATATTTGAGTTCTTTATGTTCTTGTTTTTGCGCTCGTATTGCTTTTATTAAATGGAAGACCGCCGCCAGTCCGTCCAGAGTCAGAGTATTTTCCGAGTGACAAGTGATCGGTAGATAAGATTGTAGCCATTGTTCAAAGTATCGCCCGAACCATGGGACCATAGGAAAGTGCGAGGGAGTACAACGGCTGCAGCCTTCCTTTTTTTTATTTTATGATCAATTTATGGTATAATACAAGATATACTACACACAATACATGTATGTGCCGGAAAATAACCTACAAACAAAGGCTTTTTCTGTGGGAAACAAAAGACTTGAAGTATCAGCCTATACTATATAATAACGCCCTATCGTTTTTCGTCTAAGAGTCAAGGCTAATGCCATTCGATGCCTCTACAAAATACTACAAAATATCGTCTGATTCTGTTCATTCCCACACAAAATGCTGACTTATCATTTGTTACTCCCATTTTGTTTTTTTTCTTTCGAATCACAATCAAAACAATTCGAGCCATATCAGCCATAGATTTCTTAGAGCTCAATTCGAACCGGTTGGGCGGACAAAAGATAAACTTTATATATAGAAAATCCGTAATCCGTAATCAGAAATAGCCCCCAAGGAAAAATATATTAAAATAATACCCCGAAAAACAAACAAAGATAGAACCCAAAACCAGTCTTTGGGCTGCCGACAGTGCAATGTGAAGCAGAAACTTGATGATAATTATCCAATCCAAGAGATAGCAGCTTCGAAGATCTGATGATCGGTTGACTCACAATTTTGGCATTCCCCAAGATGCGGCAACGGTTTATGGGGGTCTTTGGGGGGCTTTCACGCGTCTCAAAGTAGGTTTTTTTTTCAATTCCTGGCTGGTAATTTGTAAATTTTATGTGGAACGGCCTTGGACACTTTTGAAAGTACACATGATACACATTTCTCTTTCGACATAACTTTGAATAAATGAGGTTTTTGGGATAGATTCAATATTGAATATTATGGAAGTCGAAATACGAAAATGTCCATCCCATAAACACCTAGACTAAGGTCGCTTATCCGAATAAATCGAGTACTTACTTATTCGAAACAGAAACCAAGTCAGAATTAGTGTTGCCAAATGGTAAGATATTCCCAAAAAACCAAGGTTTGTGACCCAATTTTGAAACGATACATATAAAAGTATGCTTCAACTTAAAGTCAACCCGCAGCATGGCCCGAAACAATTACCAAATCAGGGGGGAGGTTGGAGTTTCGACTGTCGGGTGTGGGTGAACACAGTCAACTGATTAGTGAAGGCCAGATACGGGCCACAAACTTATTCAAATGCAATTCAAAAAGTGTGTCAGTCTGGCGCTATCGCTGAAGGACAGACCGGGGCTCTGCTCTG